ACAGGGAAATGACCTGGGACCTGGCCGGGGATGGAAGCCTGCTGGTTGGGACAGCCTAGGGGAGCCGCTCCCAGTGACAGGGCACCTCCTCTCTGCCCCCAGAGCACACCCTCCCAGGGGGCCTGGCTGACCCGGGAGATGCAGAGATTGGGAGGTAGAAGCTACTAGGGACAACTGGCCGAGAACGGGGGGGGGAGGGGGTGTCCATCCAACGCTCATGTTCCAGACTTCTCTCTCAGAATGATCACAGATTTGGAAAAAGACAAGAGTGAAGCATGTACTTAAAACAGCCAGCCCTCAGAAGACAGAGAGGAGCCCAGCGCTGCGGCCACAGAAACCTCGGATGTGGTGTCGGGAAGACCTGGGTGTGGCGATGCCTACCTGCCCGAACCCAACCATGGACAGGCGGCGAGCCCACCAGGCCTCAGTCTCCCAACCCGGGAAGCACGTCACAGGCCTGTGGCCAGGCAGCACTTCCCGGTGGAGGCCCCACAAAGCCAGGACTCAAAGGAAGACATTTGGTTTGGTGTGGGGCCCCCCGTCTCTCCTGCCACAGCTCAGGCGGCTCTCCTCCTTCAACTGCACGGGCCCATCCTCCCCCAGCTCCCCCTGCCTCTCCTCGAGCTCTGAGCAGCCATCTGGTCACAGTGCTGGGGGCCAGCCCTCGGACAGCACCGACTGGTCACGGGCACACGCTGAGGGAGCCCAGAGGGCAGCTCCGGGTGCCTGCTGCGTGAGCGAAGGTGGGGTCCAGAGGGGAGGAGGACTGTCCCTGGATGGCGCGCCCGCGGTCCACACCCAGCGGTAACTCCGAAGTGGGCGGGTCGAACCCACCCAGCAGCACCACGGAGGAAACAGGCCTGGCAGTCTGCTTCCGTAAAGATTACAACCAAGAAAAACCCCACAGGGCAGCTCGCACTCTGCAACCAGCAGGGTCTCCAAAGTCACAAACCAACAAAAGAAAGGCCACACCAAAGGGGGCACGATCTGCTGAGGTCACTTTACCCGAGAGCCCGAAAGAAAAGGGGGGGGGGGCGAGGAGCAGGTGTCTTCCAAGGGGCCACCAGAGGCTCCCTACCAGATAGATGGCGGCCGACGCAGACACAGTCAGACAGCCACAGCCGCTCACAGGAAGCCCAACTACATCCAACCACGACTCAGGCTGCTCCGCCTCGCGTGCCGACACCGTGGGCCAGGTACCGCCTTGGCCCCAACACCTCCCTGCCAGCTTGCCACACTGTGGTGGCCTCCATGTTGCTGAGGCCGCTGTTTCAACCACCAGCAGGGTCCCCCGTGGTGGACAGGTTTCAGCAGAGCTTCTGGACTAAGACAGACTCGGAAGAAAAGCCTGGTGACCTAAACTCAGCCAGTGAACAGTGTATGGACCACACAGAACATGTCCCACAGGGAGCCGAGAGAGGAGCCCTGGAGGTTGGAAGGCACTCCAAGTCCCCAGCGGCCGCAGCCACACACGGCTCCGTCAGACCAAGATCCTGAAGATGGCGCGGGGCCGGGCCACGGTTCCTTCTTTCGCACGTGGGGTTGCCATGAGTCGGAACCAACTCCACAGCAACCCACAACTGTTGTGCAGGCTGCCTGTACGCTGGGGGACACTTAGCAGCTCAGGAGAGGCCACTAGCACTGTCCCCCAAGCTGTGACAACTAAAAATGTCCTCAGATGTGGCAAGGTGCACCCTGGGCACGAGTACCCCGAAACAGACGTGCAACAGAGGCTCCCAGCCAGACCTGAGCGTCACGGGAGCAGGAGATCCTGAAGCAGTCCCCCACCCTACAATCTGCCCCGCACTTCCACTTCCGGGGGACATGAGACCCCAAGGGGAGGCCCAGAGCTCATCACTAGCCAGCGGCAGAGCCAGGACTCAAACCTAGGTCTGTGCACCAGCACATCTTTGTCTGAACCATAAGCTTTCACTGCCTCCCCAAAAATCGTGTCACGTGGTCTCACTCAACTCACACAAAATGATATAACAGTAGACAAAAGCTTTAAAAAGAAAACAGAGTGACACCTTAAATAGAACAACGGACATCAACTGCCATTCCGCGTGACATGAACATGTGCCAGGGTGTGGTGACCGTTTCTACATGTACGATGCATGTTAGTACACAGGATATGTACACAAACCACACACACCATGTTCTCCAGACCGTTCTGAGTCACTGCCGTTACCAGCTCACAGACGCCGGGGGTTACGGTCCCACATCTGACAACACACCTTCCTGGCCAGAAACACCTGGCCTCCCAGGCTGGTGTGCAGGGCACCCCACGTGCCCTCAGCGCCAGGGTGTGCGTGGGGGGGGTGGCAGAGGAGCTGCGACAGGGACCCTCACCAGAATGTCACCGGCAGGTGCTGTGCCCAGCTCCCCCAACACATCTGCTCTCTCGGCCACCCCAGCACCCCAGCTCCAGGTATCTGCACGGGCTGTTCCTTCCACCCGGGACGCCCTTCCTCCCCTCTCAGCGTCAACCCCCACTCATGCTTCCTGGACAGAAAAGCCACCGGCCCAGCCAGTCCCGCGGGTGCCTGCCCCTCCCGGGCTGTCACCACACACAGTAACTGAGCACAGGGTCGACCTTTGCCTCCCAGGGACTGTCCCTCTGGGCCCCCACCAGCTCCCCGCCCTGCCCTCAGCAGGCCTCCTCTCCAAAACGGGACCCATCCCGACCACGGGGGCTCCCAGATCCCTCCTCACGACCAGGGACGCCCAGGGCTGGAGGGGGCCACAGCCTGGGTCCAGGGACAGGGCTGTCACCCTGTGTCCTGAGCCCACGGGTCAGAGTGACAGGGACCCGCGGGCGAGGCCAGGGGACAGGAAGCAGGGTGGGCGGTACGAGGCACCGAGATGGGGGGCAAGGGTCTGAGAATGCGACATGGGGGTGCCCGAGCGGGCAGACTCCTGGGAGGAGACAGGCCGGGGCGGGGG